TGGTTGTGCAGCTGCACAACCAGTAGAGAGTGTCCTCCGAGATCAAAAAAGTTCTCATTCAGACCAATCTCATCCAGCTTCAGAACCTTTTTCCACAGCTCAGCAATCTGCATTTCCAGATCACTTTTTGGCTTGGCGTCTTCGGAGATTGCTCTCGCCTGCACGGGTTTGATGTCCAGCAGTGCTTTGCGGTCCAGTTTGCCGTTGGCGGTTCTCGGCATTTCAGGAAGCACAACGACTTCGTTGGGAATCATGTATTCAGGCAGGCTTGACCGCAAAGATGAGCGCACATCAACATCGGCTATGGCTTGCGCATCACTGGCGCACAAATAGGCCACCATGCGCTGATCGCTGCTGTCATCTGCACGCACGATCACGGCAGCTTCATCAACCGCCGGTATGGCCTCGATGCGGGATTCAATTTCACCCAGTTCAATGCGATAGCCACGCACTTTAACCTGAAAGTCTGTGCGTCCAAGGTATTCGAGGCTGCCATCTTCGCGGTAGGTCGCCAGGTCACCGGTTGCGTACATTCGGCTGCCGAGGGTTTTGGCAAACGGGTTGTCAAAAAATCTTTCTGCCGTTAACGCCTCCCGGTTCAGATATCCGCGAGCGACCCCTTTGCCGCCGATATAGAGTTCTCCAGGAATGCCTTCGGGTAAAGGTTTTCGATATTTGTCGAGGATATAGATCTGCGTATTGGCAATCGGTTTGCCGATGGAAATGCCGTCTGCCAGGTTTTCGACCTGGCTCGCCATAGACCAGATGGTGGTTTCGGTGGGTCCATACATGTTTGACAGCGTTGCTGTTGAGTTCTCTTTGAGTTCCTGTGCCAGAGATAAAGGCAATGCCTCGCCACCCAGAAGCAGGTGGGGGATTTTCTGTATCGCCGGTTTAGTCTCGTTATCAAGCAGATACATGCGCGCGGTTGAAGGCGTGCACTGCAGGTGCGTGATGTTGTGGGTTTCAATGAGATCAGCGACGCTGGCTGCAGTTCCGCTGGGTTCCGCCTGGCTTACAGCCTCAACCATTTTTTCCCGCAGTGATTTCAGACGAGGCAGACTGTCCAGAATCGCCTGAGTTTCGACGCCAAAATCCATCAGGCAGGCTATTTCGTCCACACCGGTGTGGGTGCAGTCGGTGAGCATTTTAAGGCAGGTGGCTTCATCTCCAAACAAGCCACTGCCAACAAAATAGCGCTCGAAGGCAAAATTCAGAATGGTATCGACTTCTTCTTCACTCAGAGACTTGAGGTCAACGTCTTCCGGTTTGGTCACGTCACCACCAGGACGCTTAAACGCCGGGAAAGACCAGGCGTAGTCCATGGCCAGTTTCATCGAACTGGATAGATAGTCTTTCATCGGTTCGCGGACAATCTCACGCACTTCGTCGTTGTCCACACCCACAAAGGTGTGCAGCATCAAAGCAACGCGGCCTGTTGCCGGGTCGTGCCCTGCCTCTGCACGCGCTTCTCGATACATGCGCGTTTTTTCTTTGACTTCGTCCAGGGTCTGTCCCAGCAGGTGGGTCAGTACGTTCAAGCCGAGACGACCTGCTTCCATCCAGGTATCCGGGTTACCCGCGGTGGTAATCCAGCAGGGCAGTTCTTTCTGTACAGGCCGGGGTAAAGACTCAAGTTCAACATCACCTAATGGGCCGGGAAAGGTGAGTTTTTCGCCGCGCCATAATGCGCGGACCTGTTCCAACTGTTCGTACATGCCGCGCTTGTTATCAGCGTGGTTTTCGGGACGCAGCACAAAGTCGTTAGGGTTCCAGCCGGAAGCCGCAGCAATTTCAACCCTGCCATTTGAAAGGTTATCTACCACGCCCCATTCTTCAGCAATGCGCACCGGGTGGTGCAGGGGGACCACGCAGCTGCCCGCTCTGATTTTGATATTGCTGGTAATAGCAGCTACGGCTGCGCCAGTGACTGCCGGGTTCGGGTAAGGTCCGCCGAACGCATGGAAATGTCTTTCGGGGGTCCATACTGCGGAAAATCCATTCTGGTCAAAGAATTTGGACCCTTCGATCAGCAGTTTGTATTTGTCTGGCCCCGGACCATCGTCGTTGCCCCACATGAACAGGCCCATATCCAACACATGGGTCGGCTGTGCAGCGGATAGCGCTGCTGCGCTACGGTGGCCGCTCTCGTCATAAATAACAACTTTGAAGCCGCGATTGATTGTCCAGAAAAGCTCAAGAATGGAGATGTCGAAGGACAGGCTTGTCACAGCCAGCCACGTACGATTTTCAAGGGTTGCGCCGGGTATGACCTGATCCATGGCCACAAAGAAATTAACAACGTTGCGATGCTCCAGCATGACCCCTTTGGGTTTGCCTGTGGAACCTGAGGTATAAATGACGTAGGCCAGGTCCGTTGGTTTGTTCTGAATTGCTGTCAGAATGTCAGCAGCCGGAACGCTTGTGTCTGCTGACTTGTCATCTACCAGCAGCAACGATGCGTTGCTTTGCGGAAGCTGATCAGCCAGAGCCTGCTGAGTGACAATCAGCGGCATAGCCGAGTCTTCGATCATGAAAGCAATTCGATCCGCAGGAAACGCTGGATCCAGAGGCACGTAGGCAGCACCGGATTTCAGGATCCCCAGGGTTGATACCATAAGGTCAGTAGAGCGGTTGACGTAAACGCCCACCAACGAGCCTGGACCTGCACCTGCCGACACCAGTCGGCTGGCAAGGCTAAGGGCCTGGTCATTCAGTTCCGCGTAGGTCAGCTTCACGCCGTTTGCAACAATGGCAACAGCCTCTGGCGTGGCGGCAACCTGTGCGTCGAAACCGCTGAGCATCAACTGGCTCTCATCAAACGATACATCCGTCTGATTAAGGGTATAAAGCAGCCTTTCTCGATCTGCCGATGACAGCAGATCAAGCTCTGAGGCGGCAAGCCCGGGGTTCGATTGTGTTGCGTGCAGCCAGTTCAGGAAATCTGTTTTGAGGCGTTCTACGCTGGCTGTGTCGTAAGCTATGCGGGCAAAATCTAACTTGCAGTAACCATCGTCCAGCATGTGCAGTTCAAGTTCGGCGATGGATTCAGTGTTGTGGCTGCCCAGGATTACACCCACGCCTGCGTGAGGGCCAATGTGCTGCGCTACTACAGGATTGGCCTGACGCGCAATCAGGTCCTGTAAAAAGGGTGCTCTGTTGATCAGCTTGGTGATCTGCTCCGTGCAGGCGGATTGGTTGTGTGTGACGCTTTTATCCGCTGGGAATTTCAGTTGCGCAATGGCGTAAGGGGCAAGCAACTCTGGTGCTGCCTTTGCTGTTTCGAAGAGGCTGCCACCGCAGACCAGCAGACTAAGTTCGTCGCTGGCATTAACGCGTGCCAGAAAACTGGCAAACGATGCGGCAATGGTTTCTTTCGACTCATTTTTGAGCGCTTCAGGTAGATTAAAAGCCAAGGATTCGCGCGCAGCGCCGGCAGCGACATCTTCAACCTGAAGTCGATAAGGCATCGCCATAGTATTCAGGGCGGTCAGTTGTTTTGCCCAGAAGGTCTCTGCTTTGCCGATACCTTCTATGAGAGGATCAAACTTTTCGAAATTGTAGTTGAGTGAAGCACCCGCCTTGCAGTCCAGCTGTGCAACAGATACTTCCTGACCGTTTGTATCTCGCAGGCCGCCGATTTCCAGAACCTGGCCATCACCACAGGCAACCGATATAGAGCGATCGTCAACTTTGCAGACAGTGCCCGGAGTACTGGTTTGGGTATCGGTCGAGAGACTCGCAGCATCTACAATGTAAGCTTTGTTGCTTATTACAGTCTTTGCGGATCCCAGTACGTTTTCATAGCGACCTGTATTGAGTGCTCGAACAAGGCGTTCGATGTCGGCAGCAGATTGGGACCAGTCAATCAGCCCTAGATATGAAGGTCGATCTGCACGTCCATAATATCTGCGCTGGGAAAGATCCTGGGGTTGTGGCGCGAGGGCGTCGTTGCGGATCTGTTCCAGAAGACGAGGGAAAGATTCCATCGCTGCACTGAAACACTTGGTGTTAAGCGATAGTGCGGTATCGTCATCAGCAATGGTAACGGGTTCGGTGATGAGGATATCGCCCGTATCAATACCCGCTGTCATTTCGTGCCAGGTAATACCGTACTGATCAGCATTGTTGATTAACGCCCACATTGGGGTGTTCAGTCCGGCATAATCGGGTAGGGGGCCGTCGTGGAAGTTTATCGCACCACGGTTGGGTGTGGTTACCGCTTCATCCGGGATCAAAGCCAGGTGGGTGATGGCAAACAGATAGTCGTAATCCAGCGCCTTCAACGCGTCAACATAATCACGGGTTGTTGCATGTGTCATTACCTGGTGCCCTGCGGCCCAGCTTCTGACAGTTGGGTTGTCGGTGATTACCAGTTTAATTTCAAAATTTGCAGCCAGTAGCAGTTCACCACATTGAGTAAGCAGGGTGTCACCGCCGATCAAGGCACAACTAAGAGGGGTTGAAAGCATCGTGTTATTAACCATTGTTGTTACGCGAATTCCTTGTCTCAATTTCCCGAGAGACTGTGTGAGCATTATGCACCCATAAATGTTCAGCAAAGCCCCACATTACATAGTAGGTACAAGTTATTATATTTTTGCTAAGCCTTTTCCCTTAGGCTGGCGGCGCTCAAATCGGCTAAACATTTTAGTAAGGATATCAGAATGGTAGATCGGTCTACTGTGCCAGTCTTCATACTTTGCGGAGGGCTGGGAACACGGCTGAAAGAAGAAACAGGGTCCAGACCTAAACCCATGGTACCGATTGGCGATAAACCCATTGTATGGCATCTGATGCGAACTTATTCGCGCTTTGGCTTCCGGAAGTTTGTGCTCTGTCTCGGCTATAAAGCCGAAGTCGTGAAATCATATTTCCTTAACTATCACTCGTTAAATTCAGATTTTACTGTTTCGCTGAGTTCCAATGATGTTGAGGTCCACTCGGTGGATCATGAGGAAGACTGGGAGGTCACGCTGGCATTTACCGGCGAGCTGAATATGACGGGTAGCAGGATTGCGCAGGCTACTGGAAAGTATCTTGGCAATAGTGAACATTTTGCGGTGACTTACGGGGACGGTTTAACTGATGCAGATCTTGGTGCCGAGTTTGATTTCCATCTTGGGCACAACAAGCTCGGCACGGTGCTGGGCGCCAACCCGCCATCCCGGTTTGGTGAATTGAAATTGGACGGAGACGAGGTTCTGGCTTTCAGCGAGAAACCCGAATTGTCAGCTAACTGGATAAACGCAGGCTTTTTCTTCTTCCGTAAAGAATTTGTTGACTATGTCGATGTGGATCCTGCCTGCGTTCTAGAGCAAGCGCCGTTGATTAAACTTGCCGGCGACAGCCAGCTGTCAATTTATAAACACCAGGGGTTTTGGCAGTGTATGGATACGCTAAGAGACCTGGAATATCTGGATGCGCTCTGGGCGAAAGGTGATGCACCTTGGTCGCCTTCTTAACCATCCGTTCGAATAAAGGACGCAAAAATGAAAGTATTTGTCACGGGCCATAAAGGCTATATCGGCGCTCATCTGGTCGAACTGCTGAAAGAAGAGGGGCACTGGGTTACCGGGTGCGATATCGATCTATTTGAAGGCTGTGAATGGGAAAAGTGTGTGCCTGCAGATCTTGATCTGAACAAAGACAGCCGCGCGGTTACTGAAGAAGACCTAGCCGGGCATGATGCCGTTCTGCACCTTGCTGCTATTTCAAACGATCCGATGGGTGACCTTGATCCTTCTATTACCTACGGCATTAATCGAGACGCCTCTGTCCGCCTTGCTCAGCTGAGTAAAAAAGCAGGCGTACCTCGCTTTGTTTTCTTCGGGAGTTGCTCGGTTTACGGTCAGGGAGAGAAGCTTGATCTGGAAGAGACGGACCCGCTAAATCCGATTACGCCGTATGCAATATCAAAAATTGATTCGGAAGTGATGATCAGTCCTCTTGCGGACGAGACGTTTACGCCAGTGTACATGCGTAATGCCACAGCTTATGGGTTTTCTAAAATGCTGCGTACCGATCTGGTGGTCAACAATCTGCTCGGCAGTGCGTTGTCGTACAACGAGATACGCATCATGAGTGATGGCAGCCCCTGGCGACCGCTGATTCATTGCAGGGACATTGCCCGTGCAGCAATTGCATTCATGCAGGCGCCTGCGGCAGATGTTCACAACAAGGCTGTTAACGTTGGCGGTAATTCTGAGAATTATCAGGTGAAAGATGTTGCTGATCAGGTGCAGAGGTTGATCCCCGGAGCTGACATCACCTTTACCGGGGAAGTTGGCGCAGACCCAAGGAATTATCGCGTTAATTTCGATATGTTGGCCGAAGTGCTGCCGGATTTTAAGTTAGCTTATAACCTTGAAAGTGGTATGGAAGAGCTTCACAGCAAAATGGTTGAGCATGGATTCAATGCGGCAGATTTTGAAGGTGATCAGTTTGTTCGCCTGCGTACGCTGGCCAAGCGCACCGATCGTTTGAACTTTTCATCCTAATGCCAATATCTGAAACGCGGAGAAGTAGTCGTGCTGTTTGAAGAAACCCCTCTGGCCGGAGCTTATGTGATACGGCAGGAAAGACGCGGTGATGATCGCGGCTTTTTTGCGCGGGCATTCTGCAGTCAGGAATTTGAACAAGCGGGTCTGGTAACACAGTTTGTTCAGGTCAATAATTCCCTGTCTGCAAAAAAAGGCACGTTACGCGGTATGCACTACCAGCTGGCGCCTCATGCAGAAACTAAAATTGTCCGGTGTGTGAGAGGTGCGCTGTGCGACGTGATCATTGATTTACGTCCGGATTCAGAAACGTTCTGCTCAACTTTTCAGATAGAGTTGAATGCTGAAAACCGAGATATGCTTTATGTACCGAAAGGTTTCGGCCACGGATTTATCACCCTTACCGATGACACTGAAGCGTTCTATTTTGTTGATGAATTCTATGCGCCTGACTTTGAGCGCGGTGTTCGCTGGAACGACCCAAAATTTGCCATCGATTGGCCCATAGAACCAGTCGAAGTGTCTGAGAAGGACTCGGGACACCCGGATTTTGACCCAGCTTTCCATCTTTCATCGGCTGAACCGCCCGCGTAATGAAGATTCTGTTTACAGGTGCCAGCTCTTTTACCGGTTATTGGTTTGCAAAGACGCTAGCCGAACATGGGCACGACGTTGTCTGTACGATGTTGCGTGGCGAGGCTGACTACGATGGCGTGCGTGGGCTACGGGTACAGGGCCTTAAAACTCACTGTGAACTGGTTTTCAACTGTGGCTTTGGCACGCTTGAATTCCTGGAATGCATCGAAGCATCGTCTAATTGGGATTCCCTCTGTCATCACGCAGCTGATGTAAGCGATTACAAAAGTCAGGACTTTGATATTCCAGCAGCTTTAGCCAACAACACGAACAATCTTAACGCCACGCTGCAGGCGCTGTCTGGGCGTGGCTGTCGAAGGGTTGTGCTTACCGGCTCAGTTTTTGAAGAAGATGAAGGCGCAGGTTCCGGTGATCTGCCGGCTTTTTCGCCATACGGTATCTCAAAATCTGCCACCGCATCCGTGTTTAGGTACCAGACAAATCGATTGGGACTCGGTTTGGGCAAGTTTGTTATTCCCAATCCGTTTGGTGCGTTTGAAGAACCAAGATTCACGGCTTATCTGGTGAATACCTGGGCGAAAGGGGAGGTTGCCGCGGTAAACACGCCTGATTACATCCGCGACAACATTCATGTCGATCTGCTGGCGGCTGTGTATGTCCAGTTTGTCGAAAATCTTGCTGAAGCAGGGTTCAGTCAGGTTAATCCCAGTGGTTATGTCGAATCACAAGGCGTTTTTGCGCAGCGATTTGCTGCGGCTATGCGCAAGCGTTTGCATGCCGCTTGTGAGGTTGTGCTGAATAAGCAAACCGATTTCTCAGAACCTTTTTTCAGAACCAATACAGAATCTGCTGAACGTATGATTTCCGCATGGGATGAAGAAGGAGCTTGGGATACGATAGCAAATTTTTACGCTGAAAAACTTAACCTACCTCTAGAACCCTCGAAGGCCTGATATGAACGAACAAGGATCGTCAAACTCTGGTGGCTTAGTGGTTGCCGTAGTGCTGACTTGGAACGATGTCGAGTTGACCTCTAATTGTCTTGAGTCGGTGCTCGCCAGTAACTACGCCAATCTTAGGTGCTGCTCGTCGACAATGGTTCAAAACCACAGAGAGGTGGGGAATTAAGGGAAAAATTCCCTCAGATCGAAGTTCTACAGCTTGAAGAAAATCAGGGCTTTTCTGGTGGTGCAAACCGTGGAATGGAGAGAGCATTGGAACTCGGAGCACAGTACCTGCATGTAATTGGCAACGATTCAACTTTAGCAAAAGACACCATCTCATTAATTGTTGATGAATTTGAAACTAGCGTTGATACCGGCGCAGCTAGCCCGATTTTACTGAATCCTGGGGAGCCGAAAATAGTTCAATTTTATGAAGCTACCGTTGATCGCGATATCGCTCAACACATTCATCTAAGGGTAGGGGAGCGGTATAGTCCGGAGCGGTTTCCGACTACGGAGAGCGCGTTTATACCAATGGTCGCAGTCATGTTCCGATCGAAAGCATTACTTGAGATCGGGTTGCTAGACGAAGAGTTCGGAACATGCAGGGAAGACTATGATTTGTGTATGAGACTTCAGAACGCAGGTTGGAGATACAAAACGATTGGGGCTGCACAGGCTAAGCACATTGGTAGCCATACGACAGGTAAACAGTCTCCTTACATCCTCTATTATACAACTCGTAACAGACTAATTTGTTTGCGAAGACACGCAAATCCCGGTTATTGGCGAAGAAGGTTTTGGGATCTTGTGCGCTCATTCGGACACCAATTCAAAGTGAATGGCGTGCTAAATTTTTCGGCAAATTATGCGATGCTTCGAGGAATGTTTGATTATGCGTTTAAGATACGCGGAGAAACTCAGGGTAATCTAACGAGACTCGATGCCAGAGAATATCATCAGAACGACAACAGTCTGAGCTCGAAACTAATGTCAAAATGTTCTGACAAGGCCGGACGGTTTTCGTTCCGTTACAAATGACCGACAACCCCATGCGAAAGATCACCGAAAAAAATCTGAGCACCCAGTATCATTCTAGACTAATCCATCAGTGTAGCCATCGATGCAAATCTCCAAGAGCACACAGGGTTTTACCCCGATCTCACAGACGG